AACTGAATTTTTCTAGACTATCTGAATTAGCTAATGGCTCTGCATTAACAATTTCACTTAAACTCAAATTTTCAGTTTTGTACCTTTTCCATGGTGCATGGAATTCAAATGTGAAATGTATAATTCTAAAACTCATTTCATATTCCATTTTAAGTCAATTATTATTAAGATAATTATTATCTTTACCACAAGGTACTAAAAATAGTTTCCATTTTTGATGCAATTGAACAGTTGGAAATAAAATCACAGGGATTTCAGCAGCAAAAATGGCTAAACCCGTGGTGGTTTAACTACTCCAAAGGCTAGTGAGTCTTTTAGATCCAGTAGATGACGGCCAGACCCCAGACTGCATTTTAGTTTCTCCTTCACTCTATGTACCTTTGAAGAATTGCAAGACATGCACTAGACAGAGAAGTGAAATAAGGAAATATGGAAGAATTTGCCAGGGTAGAGAGTGGGGCTCATTAAGACTTGAAAGAAGACAGATGAAAAGCATTTCTTGGCTTGTCAAGAAAGCACATTTTTTTTTTTTTTAACAGTTGCGTTTGTTGTAGTAAATCCTCACTCCCTCTAACGGTTTCTCACAAATCTCTCTGAGGTAAAGTGTTGGATGCCTGGAACAGTGATGCACAAAGCAAACCTGGAACCTGAGTGTGGGTTGGAATTACCTAGAGGGCTTGTTAAAAAGATATATCGCTGGTACCAATCCTCTGATTTTTCAGATTCAATCTGGAGCCCAAGAATTTGCACTGCTAACAAGTTCTCAGCTAAGGCTAATACTGCTGGCCTACGGAACCACTAACTTAGGAGAAATATGCCGTTTAAAAATGAAAGTAAGCTTTGGGCAATTCTAAAAGTTATCACTGTATTTCACTCCCACTGGATTGTAAACTCATTGAGAGAAAACATGCAGTTGAATAATCTCTGTATATCTCAAAAGATTGGACATCAACTGTCTAGAATATCCTTATCAATAGTTCATTCTAACTCTACTTTGTTGATGTGAATATAAGTACTGCTTTGAAAAAAAAACAAATGGAAATCAAAGCAGGAACTTGCACAGTATTTGTACACCCATGTTCATAGCAGTATTATTCACAACAAAATGTGGAAGTAATCCAAGTGTCCATCAACAGACAAATGGATAAAAAAAATGTGGCACATCCATACAATGGAATACCATTCAGTCTTAAAAAGGACACATGATACAACATGGATGAACCCAGAAGACGCTATGCTAAGTGAAATAAGCCAGTCACAAAAGGACAAATATTTTTAATCCTACTTATATGAGGTACCTAGGGAAGTCAAATTCACAGAGACAGAAAGTAGAATGGCGCTTGCAAGGGGCTGGGGAATAGGCAGTTATTGTTTAATGGGTTGAGTTTCCATTGGGGAAGATGAAAAATCTAAAGATTCATGGTGGTGATGGCTGCACAACAATGTTAATCATCAATGTCCTTAATGCCAGAGTACACTAAAAAATGATAAATTTTTTGTTACGTGTTTTTTATTTTTGTTACATGTATTTTACCTCAATAAAAACAAAAACAAAAACAAACCTGGGTGTAACATCCTTTGATAAGCCCCCTCCAGTAGTGCTGGTTTTTAACTTGCATACTTGCATAATGTTATAATTTCACTATTAACTTGACATGTGATGCAAAACGTGGATTTGGTAATCATGGAGCTGCTACACTACGTATCCATGTAATAGGCATCATCGTGTAGTGGTTAAGAAGCACAGGCTCAGGGCTGAACTTGCAGCTCGGTCTGAATCCCAGCTTCACCATTTCACCAGTTCAGGGTCACAAAGAATTTACACTGTCTTAGTTCCTAGTATGTAGAAGTGGATAATCAGAGTATCTATTGCAAAGGATATATGAAGTGCTTAGGACAGTTCCCAATGCACAGTTAAGTACCATATACGTGTGAACTACCACTATTGTTTAGTATAGACTATAATTTGCTTTGTAGGGCACTGTTTCTCAAAGTGCAGTCTTTCTCAAAGTGCATCAAAATCATCTGCGTACCTTGCTTAAAATGCAGACTTCTGGATCCCAAATCTCCAGAAAGAGCATCTTTGGTTATAGGCTCCACTGTATAAAACCGGCTACTGCAAAGGGGGAAAACTGGGGTGGGAGTGGGGAGCACCTGGATTCAGATAAAGTGACCAGAGGACTTCGAGGAACGGAGAACCAGGAGCAGTGGTCAGAGGAAGACATTGCCTCAACTTTCTAGACGATAAGAATCACACAAAATTCTGATTCAGTAGGTAGGTGCCCTTTCTGAAAATGTCCCAAGTGAGTCTTATCAAAGAAGTTTGGCAAACATGCCCTAGAGATTCTCACAGATTTTTAGTACTTGCAGTTCTGCTTTAGATTCAAGATGTGGTGAGGGTCTGTGCTCCAGAAGTGCAAGGTACCAACTGTACCTGTTCACTCAAAAGCGCTTTGGCATTACTGTGCGGTAGGTCACAAAAGAAGAGGGGATCTTGTTCTCTCCCCATAAGGAACCTGCTGAAGAATGAGCTTAAAATCCATACTTTATTATCTCATTACCTGGAATTACAAATTGTGAAGCACATCATGGACTTTAAAGTTGGTCTAGAGTCGTGGTTGTCAAAAATGTGGTCCCTCAACTCAGTGGCATCAGCATCAAATTGTTAAAAATCGAAACTATTAGGCCTTCCCCCAGAAGCTCTGGGAGCGGGGGCCCAGTAATCAGTAGTTTAATCGCCCTCCAGGTGATTCTGATGTTCGCTCAAGTTTGGGAACCACTGGCCAAGCCAAAGGAATCTCCTTCAACAGTTTCTCCACCGTAAGTCACTGAATACTTCCAGTACTCTGCTTCCTTCTCAGTCCATTAATCTCTCCCCTCCCATCCCACATCTAATTAATCAGATTCACAGAAATCATCCACACATTTCAAAAACAACATAAAACTTTATTAAGAACATCTTATATTGTCATCAGATACAGCCAAAGAAAAAGGGGTAAATAAACAGGGAAACTTCATCTTCCCATGTGCTATTGCCACCTCAGAACAGACTTGTGTGCGGATGGCTGGAATTACAGACGGCAACAAATGCTCTGTATAAATAAATTCAGTAACACAATGCTCCCTTTCTATACAGAGAAGAACTGGGTTTACACTTTAAAAAGCTTTGATATAGTGCAACAACTATGAAACAAGACTACATCTTTAGGAGCTATTTCTTAATAGAATACAAAGCAGTTTTGTAGCTTTATATTATTTCATATAATACAAATTTTTAGAATGGAAAATTCAGAACAGGCATTCTAACTTTCCCAATTAATTTGTACTTTTGAGTTTTTTCTTTCTAAAGATTTCTCAGAGCCAGTTCAAGAACTATACTTTAATAGACTATCTGCTCATCTACAGTGACAAATGACAACCTAGTTTTGTTCTTTTAATTTTGCAAATCAAGATAACCAGGTCATCCCAGCTTTTGCTGATTCTGCAGGAATTCTTATAGAAAAACCCTGATTCAGAGTGCATGTGAGAAGAGGTACCAAAATAGCTGCGTCTGGACTGGTTTTCCTAGAGGGGGAGTTTGGCTATTGAGCATAGCTGATTTATTTTCTCAGACTCCCGGGTTCCCCCAGGTGGTTCTTTTACTTACTGTAGTGATGGAAAGAGCAGAGGGAACGCCAGGGAATCTGTTCAAATTGCCACTCCAGACAGCTGTCTGCACTGTTTGTGGAGAAAAGAGTGATGGTGTCCATTCAAACCACAGTACCCCTACTGCAAGTGTGGTGACATGCTTTTCTCTTGAGGGGCCAGGCCAAACTGCACTCAAAGATGCATGATTTGCCTCATGTACATACACAGTGGAGAAAATGCTCATGATTTAGAATTTGGTATTATAGTACCCCATCTTACCCCATTTCTTGAGGAAATCTAAGTCTACCTTTTAGAAAGGAAGACTATTTGCTGCTAAGGCTTACCATGTTAACTATCATAAGGCTGAAAAGATAACTTCTAAACCAGACCATATTAATTTGTGTTTACAGTTAGTGAATTAACCAACAGCTAAAGGTTTGTGGAGGATTGGTCAAAGGGTGGGACTGGGGGTAGGATTTAGGTTGAGTACTATCACTTATCACAAATCGCATCAAGCTCTTTAAAAAAATAATGCATTTTTATCATAAATATTTAGAACAGATACTGGCATTAAAATCAGTATCTATGTCAGAAGTCTGTCTTAAGTGGTGAAAATATTTCAACAAACTTCTAATAATTCAAATCTTCCCAGGAGTACATAGTTTATAAATTAGTTTTAAATGGAAAAAATATATTTTGAATGGGTAAGTCACCACTTTAGCAGATCATAAATAAGATCAAGACATTGAAAATAAATTAATATACAAGTTTTTGCTTTCACTTTAACAAGAAAAACTAACTTACATGGTATACTTTTATAACAGGTATAAGTAGGTTTTTATAATTGTGCATTGGTTACCCCACCACCCCCATGCTGAATCTTCTTACATATCCTACACCTAGGGACAGAGGTACACAAGACAGACAGACACCCCAGTGCGTGAGTCTGGCTGCTGCACACCATTTCCTTAGTTAGAGTGATGTTACAAATGCTGGTCAGGGTCTGTTAGTAATTTGTCAACCACATTACAAGTTAAGTACATTCATGGTTAAGTGGATTAGGTTCCCAGATGAGCTTTCTGTGGTAGTATTTATAGGGAACCTAACTACTATTGTTTCTGTGAGAAAATGTGCCCAGAGGCCCAAAAGTTGACTAAAAGACTTTGGAATATAAGCCACATATGGATGGGGACTACTAATATGTGTCTATGTTTTGGAGAGAGGTCAAACTGTTAAAAGCACTGTTTCCAGAACTATTGGGTACTGAAAATAAATACTTGCCTTCTCCTTCACATATAAATTCATTTTAACTATAATTCCTAATAATGAGAACAAAAGAGTGAAGCCATTCAGACTAGTGAGACATAATTGGCTTGTGGGATTTAAAGATGTTTTATTGACTACCTAGTTTGAATCTGCTTACAAGGAAAAGAAAAATGTCTAATATGTGATGAATGAAAATAATGTTTATCCTAAGTCATTATTGAGTACAAATCCACAGCTTAACAATGTGATTTAAAAAGAAAGCAGAAGAGCATGCAACTGCTCTAACACACAGGGTTAGAAATAAAAGGTAAAAGTACATTTGTTTTGGTAATTCTAAATATACAAATATAGCATTTGCCAGATCTACCCTGTAGTGTAGCACTGCTTAATTTCCAAATATACAGTCATTCAAAAACCTTAAGGAAACATTAAAAATGTTCCAGGTTACTTTACTGAAATTCAAGAAATATTGTGTTGAGATTTTAGAGCTAAAAATACTATTGTTTTTCAAGTTAAATGGCTAAGCAAATAATAAAAGTACCATTATTTTATGTTTCTTTTAATCCCCTAGATGGCTTTAAGTTAAAGGGATCGATTATGTTAAAAAGAGACTGATTTGAAAATAGCAATCAGTTTCAGAATCAAAGTTGTCCTCTTGGTAGAAGGTCACGTTTTACAACATTTCCAAAGCATTTTCGTATTAACCTACTCAAATAATTCTAAACAGTTTGATCAAGGGGGTCCCTATTTAACACTCCTTTTATTCTACACTGGCAGCTGCAATGGAACCCCTACAGTACTATTGTGGAAAAGTTCTCCAAGCTTTAATCTGACCCTTTAGTGTTAAATTACTGACCTCTGGGGAATAAGGAATCAAAGGCATTAAAGAGGCACAGAACTGATATTTTGGTCAGGGAGAAGGGTGAAGCTTAAGTTGGAACATTTAGTCACTTCTACAATCAAGTCCTAACTATACCATAATAAAGTCTCTACCAACTCTTGATTAGTTCTCACCCTTTAGGAATTACATACTTTACAGTGATTAGATACCGAAGAAAATAAAGAAAACTATTTGAAAATACACGAAGAAATAGAAACATGGAATTTCTCACAAGGCCCTGGATCAAAAAAATTTACAAAAAGATCTTTTGAAAATAATCACTATCTGTGAGCTTATTAATACACAGAGATCATCACTTTTTTAAACTAAGTCATGTTAACTTACCAATAAAATAGTAAACAAACCAACATTTTAAACAATTTTATAAATTACTTGTCACTTCTTTTGTTAATCATTCTCTCAACCATATACAAAAATAACGCTACAGGACTGTCCACCTAACCTGTCTCCATTTCTTGCAAAGTCCTGGGCCCTGGAAAGAGACTGGTCATCAATCTTCACTGTAGATGTCCCCCGCAAAGGGCAGGTGCATGTGGCTTCCAGTGACATTGGGCAATCGGGATAAGTCTGGCAGGCTCTGGATCCGGGACCTGAGTTCTTTGCGCACCAGGGAAACTCTGGCTAACTTCCGCTTGTATTCCTGTAACATCAAACCACCTTCATTAACATTCTTGGAGTCGAGAGAACTATCTAATACTCTGCATAAAATCTGGTATTACACTCAGTTAATGCTAAATAAAAAAGGATGATTACAATGTTAGCATTAGGATCAAAGGAGGGACTTTGGAAATATACTGCTAGGTAAACTCTATTATTATGAAAAACCACAATCTTTTTCTTTTTTTGAAAAAGTGTGAGCACAAGCAGGAGGGGGTGAGGGGCAGAGGGAGAGAATCTTAAGCAGGCTCCATGCTGGGCGTGGCTCGATCTCACAACCCTGAGATCATGACCTGAGCTGAAATCAAGAGTCCGATGCTGAACTGACTAAGCCACCCACATCTGTGTTCTGGCACTGTTGTGACACATCTGTGAAAAGAAGACTAACAGATTAATATACTTAACCTCAACATATAAGATTTTCAGGCATCCTTGAGCTTGGATAAGAAAACTTACGTATCTGTTTTCACAAACCTAAACTGAGTATTAGCATTATTTTCAATTGTGAATGTTGGCAACAAACCACAGGAGTATTATCAGTATCTTTGAGTTTGTCTCCAATAGAAACAAGTTGCTATAATATTACATTATAGTTTTTTTAAGCTATCTTGAAATATTGTTTATTTATTTATTTATTTGTCAGAGAGAAAGAGAGAGAGAGAACAAGCTGGAGGAGCGGCAGAGGGAGAAGCAGGCTTCCCGCGGAGCAGGGAGCCCGGTGCGGGACTTGATCCCAGGACCTTGAGCCAAAGGCAGACACTTAACTGAGTCACCCAGGCGTCCCAATATTGTTTACATTTATCATGACTTTGAAATTATGGTAGTTATTAGACCAACTAAATGTTATATAATGTGTCAGTAAAGAAGCATATATTATACAAATTTTACTATGTCAACAACTGTATTTTATATATAATTTGTTTCCTTTGTAATGCTATGCATTTTACTTTCTACATTAAAATACTGAACTTCAAAGCGGTCCAAAGCTTCACCAGACCACTAAATGGTTCCAATGGCCCCCAAAAGTTTAGGAAACCCTGCCAACAGTAGCCCAAAGACTCAGAGACTGGAAAACAATCAAGATCATATTTGGCTTAGAGGGAAACAGCCCATTCTCTACACTGGGAATATCTCCTTTTAACTGCAGTAGCCAGACTTCCACATGGAGAGAGAGGATCCTTCTATGCTCCATCACCTAGTGGAGGTGGGATGTGAAAGGGGGAATCTAGAAAATGGGTATTCTTTCTTCTAGAAAAGACTAGAAACTTTCTCCCTCCCTCTAACCAATAACCAAGGCTGATCTCAAAAACAAGACAGAAAAGTTGACTGATAAGCTTTCATTTTGGGCAGGAGGCCTATCCACAAAAAGCCCTTCTTTAGTGTTTCTCAACTCTGTACATCAGAATCAGCTAAGAAATTTCTGAACAAACAGATTTTTTTCAAGAGAACTTCAGTCCTACTACGGAGCAATTAAATAAGAATAATCTCTGGAAGTGGGTCCAGAGTTCATGGATTTTGTAGAAGTTCCCAAAAGAATGCTAATACAGAGTTGTGAGCCACTTTTTTAGTTTTTCTGCCTAAATGAAATCAACTTGTGAGGTTCCTTTGCATGATTGAGCCTCCTCCTTTAAAGAATAACCACATGTGGGGAAAGGAATTTGTAAGAATTACTAAAACTCAACTGCTCTAAGGGAATGGGAGAGAGGAGAATTCTGAAGCACGGGGAACTGGGCACACAGTAGCAGGCAAAGTGGGCAAGGCTGGAAAAGTTCAAGGACAGCTTTGGGCACATAAGAGAGGTGTCAATTCTTGCCATGTCTCATGTCCCTGCATCTCTAATTTATCATGAAGATCAATATGGAGTAAAAGAGAGTTTAACAGAAATCTAGAATCTCAAGGCATGATTTTCCCCTTCCCCTATCTCCTTCATCAGTGATACACACTGGAACACCAAGTAAGTTTCAGTATAATAGCTCTGAGTGGCATACAAAAGATTAACACCAGAATATTTCACATTCTAGATGCATACTTCTCAGTAGGATCTCATTACTCATGTCCACATTTAGCACGTTTCTTCCTCAAAACACACTGGTATGGGGGCAAACACTTATCTCCATCTGTCCCACTGTTCTTAGCTGAATCATTCTTGAATAAATAATACATAAAACACTCTGGGGTCAGCATGATATATTCAGATGCTGTTCAAACATGTTCAAAAACAATTATTCTCTGCTAGAGAATATTTTTTGAAAAATGTCATATATGCCTTTAGTAGTCATTACTGCTCACCCTAATTTCTAGTTTCTAGCATCCAGATAATTGTTCTTCAATTAAGATTTGATTCAAATGATATTGGCAGCTAAAAGCCTTCAGCCAATTGGTATCTACTGCAAACAAAAAATTGGCAAATATAAACAAAAGCTGCCATTTACTGAATGTCCATTATATGCCAGGCATTAAAATATGAAATCATCTCAATAATCCCATGAGAAGGGTTATCTTTCATAAGCATGTGAAGTCATACTTTCCCAAATAGAAACAAAAGTATGTAGTAGTCAAAAGCTTTCTGCTTACTACCACAGGCAGGATCTCCTACCCAGAAGATTTAAGGAGCTGTGGCAAGCTGTCTGATGTGAGCCTGAATAAACTGGATGAAACCTGGTAACTACCTGATAACGTGAACCAGGCCATAGCCCTGAAAGTCTTAAATTACTTGACTAGGTGGTCTAGAAAAAGGCTCCAAGATTCCTCAGGTTGGTTTCTTATGGCAACAATGTTTACAAGAGGCTGTATTACTACTTTGATTCTGATATACAGTAATGAACAGTACTTCTCTCAAATCAAAATCATCACAGCACCTTCAATGCTCACAGCACTTATGGAGAAATGCTATCGCAGCAGTCCCTGGCATATGCCAAGTGTATATTTATTAAGTAATGGAGATACAGCATTAAAAAAAAACAAACAGATGAGGTCTCCTGCCTCCACAAAGCTAACATTTCAGGAGGAAGGAAACATAAAAAACATATAAATATTATTTCAGATATAAATACAATGAAGAAAACAAAGTTGGGCAAAAGGAGAATAAGATGGAGTAATGTGGGGGAGAGTTAAGAGGGAATTAAAGACTCAAAATGTTCTTTCAGAACCAGTGACCTAGAGACTCACTTCCAGCATGACAGTGTGAAGAGTTCAACTGACCCACTTCCTGGTGAAAACTTTTTAAAAACCGTACTAGCCATTTAAATCTTCTGGAAATGATCCTAAAGGCAAAGAACATATGAAGAAACATCTATTCCAGAACCCTCAGACCACTGCAAGAACACAAGGATTACTCTCTGGCAGCTCCCAGTCAGAGGGCTTTCTTCCTGAGAAGGGCAAGGCATCAGCATTTGTCATCCTATCCCCAGCTACCTGGTGCTAAGGCTGCCTCACAGAGGCCCTTCACTCAGCCCCCATTGGTGAAACAGAGGCTCTACCTTATATGTGGCAAGCCAAGAATCCTGGGGCACCGACAAGCCTTGCCCACGACTCAGGAGGTGATGGTCTAATCAGAAAGGGAAAGCTGAGAACCTAATCTCTTCACACAACAACAAAGCAAGAAGTTCAAGCCTAAGGGTACTGTCAAGAACAGTGGAGACTATGGTGAAAAGCAATTAAAAGATTCATAATAGGAGCTAAACTGTAGGTCAACTAATTTGCAGGAAAGAAGTAGGGAAAAAGATAGCTGAAGGTGACTTCCTGGTGTCAGAACAGATATCTAACACTGACCTCAGAAAGAAAATCAGTTATCTCCAAGAGATATCTGCACACCATGTTCACTGCAGCCAAGATATGGAAACTACTAAGTTTCTGTCAACAAATGAAAGGATAAAGATGATGTGGTACATACATATATACAATGGAATATTATTCAGCTGTAAGAAAAAAGATAATTCTGACATTTGCAAATGGATAAACCTAGAGGACATTAAGCTAAGTGAAATCAGTCAGAGAAAGATGAACACCGTATAATCTCACTTACATGTGGAATCTTAAAAAAAAAAAAGTGACTCAATAGAAACAGTAGAATGGTGGTTACCAAAGCTGGGGTGGCAGGGGGAGATGGGGAGATGCTGGTCAAAGGGTACCAGCCTTCAGTTACAAGATGAATAAGCTCTGGAGATCTAATGTACAGCATGTTGACTATATTTAATAATACTGTGTTGTGTACTTGACATTTGCTGAGAGGAGACCTAAGTGTTCTCACCACACACACACACACACACAACTATGTGACATGATTGATGTGTTAATTACCCTGACTGTGGTGATCATTTCAACAAAGTAGACATGTGTCAAATCATCACTATACAATTTTATCTGTCCATTTTACTTCAGTAAAGCTGAGAAAAACAAATCTCTCCTTATTCTATTAGTAAACCAACACTGACCCTGCCCCCACCCCACAAAAAAACGCCACAAAAAACCCTAAGCATGAAAGAGAAAACGAAAATTGTGGGTCCAGTGACACACATGTACTGTATCGGGAAATTCAACCTGATAAGTCAGTCAATAAGTAAAGCCAATACCAGTTTTTTAAATCCCTTTCATAATCTTCTCATTCTTTACTAACTAAACATGCATTTTGCAAAAATAGCTTTCAAAAAATTTATTTTGTGTTCCAACTTAACTTTTTTCCCTAAATAAATTCAATTCTGTTCTAGCTCCAAAGAGAAGAAAATTTAAGATAAAAAATTCCCCGAGCAAAACCATTAAGAAATTAAGCCCCTTCCCTTAGCAATACTGAGCTTATATATACTGCTTTTACTGCAAATGTATAGTATTGTTTATTCTGCCAGTATGAAAAACTTGATGCAAATGAAAACCACAAAGATAGTACTTCACACCTACAATTATGGCTATAATAAAAAAGACAGACAAGGGGCACCTGAGTGGCTCAGTCGGTTAAGCATCAGACTCTTGATTTTGGCTCAGGTCATG